ATGGTCCTCTTTGGATTCCTTTTGTTTGGGGTTCTCTGCGCTTCCTGGACTTGTAAGTCTATTTCTTTCACCAGGTAGGGGAAGTTTTCTGTCATTATTTATTCAAATAGACTTTCAAAATCTTGCTCTCTCTCTTCTTCTGGCACCCCTATAATTCGTATGTTTGTACGCTTGAAGCTGTCCCAGAGGCTCCTTACACTATCTTCGTATTTTTGGATTCTTTTTTCATTTTGCTTTTTTGGTTGGGTGATTTTTGCTTCTTCATATTTCAAATCTTCGACTTGATTCTTGCGATCCTCTAGTCTGCTGTTGGAACTTTGTATAATATTCTTTATTTCAGTCAGTGTATGCTTAATTTCTAGTTGGTCCTTTTTCATATCCTCAAGGGTCTCACTAGATTTCTTGTGGGTCTCACTAAATTTATCGGCGGTTTTTGAAAAAATTTTTTCTAGGACATTTTTGAAAAATCTTAGAAGTGTGGTTTTGAACTCTATATCCAGTAGTTTGCTTTCCTCCATATCTGTCATTTGTGACCCGTTTCTTTGTTTCCACATTCTTTATGCTTCCCTGTGTTGATAGAGTGGCTTTCTGTGCTAGGTGTCCTCTAGGGCACAGTGGTTCAGCCTCCCCAATTACTTCAGGAGGACACTCTTGGTGCACCCCCTTTGTGAACTTTGTGCACAGTCTTGTTGTAGTTAAGCCTTGATTGTTGTAGGTAACACTGGGAGGAATTGACCTCCAGGCCAATTGGCTGTGAGAATCAGCTGTATCTACGGTGGGAGAACTTCTGTGCTGGAGACACCCTTCTGGGGCAAGACTTGCTTCAGTGGGGCTTTGGTGCTCACTGATTCTGCTCCCTGAGTGTGTCCCTTATGCATCTGAGGAGTTATAGTCTGGATGGTTCCACTCTGACCATTGAGTACACTGGCTCTTGGTCTCTAAGGAGGTGCTAATTTAGCCTCTGTCTGAGGCTACCCAGCAGGAGCTATGGAGAGATATGCAGATTCCTCTTCCTTGTTTGGGGTTTGGAGGTGCCCAAATGAGGCCCAGCTGTGAAGCAATGCTAGCTGCTGTGGGGTCTTGGGCCTTCTTTTGGAAGTTCTGGGTCTCTGTGACCCAGCTGCAGTTTGTTAGGTAATTTTCAGATTGCAAAGGGCCAGGGCATTCATATGCAAAAGCCTCTGTGCACAGCTTGGGTGGGGCAGGTTCATCAACAGGGTGGGGCAAACACCAATGGCTGCTCCTCAATCCAACTCTAAGAGGCCTCGCGTCTCAGTGTCCTATGGTAATCACTGCAAGCACCTCTGAGAGAAAGCTGCCCTCGAGTTCCGACCAATGCCACACAGACCAGTTTCTCCCTGTATGAGTCTGGGTCCCGAGAGACTTGCCCAGAACTGGAGCCCAGAGCAGTCAGGAGCTTGAGACTCCCTCCCGATTGAAAAAGACAGCCGTGTCCTCAGCTGTCAGCCCTTTCCACGTGCGCCTGCGTACCTCTGCACTTTACTCCCA